TTTCCTTATCGTCATCAACAAGACTTCTAAAAATTATGATATTCATTATTTACTATAAATTAATTAATCAATTAGGATATTAATATTTACACAATGATATATAATGAAACTAACCGACAAATCAAAAATAAAAGTGATAATCCACTCAGTATAGTTATCATGTGTTCAATTGATAAAATGCTGTCGTCATAAATAGTCATTGCAAGTATTGGTACCATAATAGCACTAGTGAAAAACATTGTATTCCTAAAAATTTAAATTMATTATTACATATTTTAAGTGTTTGATTAAAAGTTTGGAATTTAACCGTACTTTGCAATTATGACACTAACAGGTGCAGCAAAACTTTGTAAATATTTAGCAGCAGGGACATACGCACGACTAAGTCGAGCACTAAGCTCATGGTCCAGTTCATTGAAGTGACGCAAATATATTTTTGAATATAAGGACCACATACGAATACTAAGTACACTCGGTTCATTTTTTACCATCTAATGAATATAATAACAAATTTAAACAATTAAGTCTTATATTGTACACTATCTATATCTTACTTGAGCATTGTCACACAGCTTGTAAATTAATTGCCAAGTAAAAATTACTGGAGATAACAATATATTAATTAAGGCTACCCAACTAATAGTTTTACGCATTGACTGTGCTAACTCCAAACGCTTTCCAGGTTGCTTATATTCTGGTTTAAGATGCCAATTATTTTCAAATGGTGACCATGGACCCCCTGAAATAATTCATTAAAAAAAATATTTTATTTAAACAATTTGGAATACCTCACATCACTACTTATATATGTATAAAAAAATAATTCTTTAAGATATAAAATGTATAGTATAGTTTTCATATTAATAAGAACAACACTAGGAGGGTCTAATGCCCATTTTATCAATGGTGTAATATTATGGTGGAGGATTTGGGTGTCATATCATTTTATAGAAATAATACAAAACAAAAATTAAATCCTCTAAACTAGCTAGTAGCAATACATTATTAATATGTTTTTACTTTGTTAAAAATACTTTTGCATGAATAATATTTAATGGTATTGTGATAAAAAAAAAAACCAGTGAGCGAAATTAATTTAATCGAGGAGTAATGACACACCACATCAGCAACTTAGTATCACAATGTAATTATTTGTTTCTATGTAGGTATTTTATGCATGTATTCATAATACATAAAAAACTTTCTTTTATTTTGGAAGATGGTAGATAAAATATACATAAACGTCATAGCTCCACATATAACCAAATTATATAACTTTACCAAATATATTTTTATGATATAAATGTAAATAATATATATGTAAACTTTGAATAACAAAATAGGACATACTTTTGATGGTTATTTTTTGATTAGATTATCAAAATATATTTATTTTATTTTATTACTTACAGAATAGCAACAAATTTAAATTGTACTTCATTCCATGAGAAAAATAGATTACATCACCAAGAAATGGTATATTGAATTGTGTAGGCAGCACAGATTTATTCACAAGAGCTATTAAGTAGTTTTTTGTTCTAATAAATAATGAAAAAGTAGTAAGATACAAAAATACAATATTAAATTGTTTTTAATATGCTAAAAATTTATTTTAGTCACCTTAAAATACGTTGATAAATGTCAAGTTCTGTAAGATCCAGTTTATGTATACACATATTTTGTTCTTTTTGTGCTTCTATTACTTTATGTACAATTTCTCGCCAAGTATAGTTTTGTAATTCTTTCTAAAATTTAAAGATTATTTTTAATTTTTAAATCATTCTAAAGAATATTATTTTTTAAAAATCATATCTCACATCAGGTATATGGAGAGCAACATTATAAAATGCTTTGATATCAGCATAATGATAAGCAACATTAAATACTTTCATAAGCCGGAAAAATGCAAACATTAAAAGTGGTATCATATACAGATATGTGAAAATCGTAAATTTGCTAGTACATTTTGAAGCAGGAAGAAAAACATCAGAAAGACGTACTTTATCAGTACCATTCATTACTTTGCTTGAATCTGCTGGTTTGTCTCTAGATATTGAATTAATATTTAAATTAGTAATAACAACTTTTAAGCTTAGCCTTTTAAAAGCTAATTATTATATTTATAAATTTGTTTATTTAGTTAAAGATACATAGTACTTTAATAGACTTTTAAAAATTAAGACACCTATATAATTATTAGGAGTCAAAATATGTAAGTTTAAATCACAATGAAATTTGTGCAGCTAACATTAGTTTTAAATGAACGTAAATATTGTATTCAAATAAAGCATAAGTCCAACTAAGGAGGAGTCTATGAGGAGGGAGGCTTAGCCCCTCAAAAAAAATTATTCAATTGTTTCCTAAAACATTAATAAATCTTTTAAAATTCAACTGTTATTCTTCTTTTTAATTTTTGGAAAAAAAAAAATTGAATTTCATAATTTTTATTTAAAGTTAAWAATTATTTTATACTTCCTATGAAAAATATGATTATTTTATCATTAGCTAATTTTATGGTATATGCACTGAATTAAAATATAGACATAATAAGATTATTAATGTAAAAATAAAACAGGGGTAAATAATAAATGTTTTATATTTTTAAGTTAATATATATGAGGGGTATGGGGACAACGAAACTTTTCATGTAATATAAGGTTAGCTCCCATAATATTTTAACCCTAGTTGCACCACTGAATAAAGTTGATCCAATTTATGACATACTATTAGTAAATTATAATTTTATATTTTGTAGATTATCGTTCGCAATTGTTACAACAGTCAGAGGCGGCTTGAATCTGCAAAACTTCAGTAGCAAGCTTTATGAGCTAAACACTCRCCCACCCATATTTTACTTAGGATATATATACAGAGTGTCACATGAGGATTTACCCATTGAGATTTGCGATATCTCACAAAATAATGGAGATATCAAATTTCTGGTTTTTTTATAAGATTCACAGGGACAAGAATTATAATTCTATCATTTTAAAATTTATTTTAATATTTTTGTAAAAAGTGTAAAAAATATATAGTTTTATTTAATTATTTCCAAAAAATTAAAGATAGCTATTTTGTAGTTTATTTTTCTGAAAACATTGATGTTTCAAAATTTTCATTTATTTCCTGATTTTTAATATTTTTT